GTACAATATGTTGCCTTCAGGCCCAGGCTGCCCTTGAAAAAGAGATCTGTGATCTCAATGGGACTTGCCTGGTTAAAGAACGGTAAAGAAATAAAGAAAAAAAAAAGAAAGAAAATAATTAAATGCCATTGGTGGGTTGGGGGTTCGGTTTACGACCAAGGTGTGAAAACACTGGCGGGGTAGGAGCAGGTTCGGGTTGAATCAGCTTGTTTTTGGTTTTATTTGTTTTCCCGTCATGTTGGAGCAGTTTGTTGGAACCTGGAAGTTGGTTTCCAGCGACAACTTCGACGAGTACATGAAGGAAGTCGGAATGAACTTCGCCAGTCGACAGGTGGGCAACCTGTCCRAGCCGAAGCTGCTGGTGAGCCTGGCAGATGATGGGTTTGCAACCATGAAGGCCGAGAGCTCTCTGAAGACYGTAGAGGTCAAGTTCAAGCTGGACGAAGAGTGTGACGAGACCACAGCAGACGGCCGCAAAGCCAAGGTGGGATGTTGCAACAAACAAGAACTGATCTGCTTTTCCTCCTCATCGTCTCACCGTTTTATTTTATTTTATGTTTTTTTAAAGTCTGTCTTCAAACTTGAGAAYGGCAAGCTGGTGCAGACGCAGTCCTGGGACGGAAAGACGACCACCCTGGAACGAGAGATTCAAGACGGGAAACTTACGGTTGTGAGTAAATTTGAAGTTGCACTTAATGGATCTGAACTGTTCTGTTCCTCTTATCTGAGGTGGTTGAGCTCTTTAAACGGACTTTTTGGACTAACGGACCTCTTGTCTCAACAGAAGTGCATCATGAACGATGTGGTTGCGGTGAGGACGTAYGAGAAGGCTGCGTAACCGTTTTTAAAACAATAAAACTTGAACTGTGATACTTTGTGTTCAGTGTTTCATTCAGTCAGGGTGCTCGCACTTTGTTATAGTCCTTAAATAACCAAATTCAGAGTTTTTTTTATCCTAAAATACTGTAAGTTCTAATGAAGCTTAACTACTGCCCACTTCAAGTTTTTGAGTGAAGCGTAATAGGCTCTAATGGGTGCTGAGAAGTTTTAAAGATAAACTCCTAATCTGCTAACACAATAGACCTCCGTTCAAGCACCATCMTGGTTTAATCCAGTGCCTCTTAATCTCAGTTTATAAACGGGAACCACTTCGTTGTGCTCATTAGCTAATGGAAGGGATCTGATTTGGAGGGGGTGAAGGTTTTAAGTGTGGCTGAGATGAATACAAAGGCTCCTTTTGTTGAACAAGATTCGGTCCATATGAGCCAGATTTGAGGCCATGAGGTTGGTGCTGTGACCCCCGTTCACAGGAGGTCTSTGCAGTGTTCAAGCAAATGTAAGTTGGTTTTAATTAGGGGAAGTAGGTCAAAGCATAAATCCTCAGATATTACCAGGTTGTGGTGAAGTGACAATATTTTCTTTAAAATTGATGTGTATTTTGTTGGTACATATAAAGGACGGTTAGACAGATATTTTTCTCTTTCCAGGAACATTTTTTTACAATAAAAAAAACCTGTTAGGGATTAAGCTTAGTGTGGTGTGCTGGCTTTGAATTGCAGACTTCCTTTGAAATGGCTTTATCCCCTTTAAATAMGATCACAGCATCAAATGCTTTCATTGTTCTGAATCGACTTGATCTCAACTGGGTTTACCAGCCATGTAGCAAATGCTGTTTATAAAATGCATGTAATTCTATTAATATTTATAATTGCATTTTGTACATGATGCCTATCAAATAGTTAACTGTTAGAAGGGTCTAAAAATATAAAGGCAGCTGAATGTGATTTATGAACAGCGTGCAGCATCACTAACAAGCAAATGTTTTTTAAAATGAATAAAATTGGTATATATCAGGTATGACATCCCTCGATCTAAAACAAGTCGCACAAAGCTTAAAAAAGGCCTAGCAATTTTTAAAAATAACTTTATTTTGGGTAAATGTCGACATCTTGTGGACAACTGAAGTAATAGCAGGTCGTGTTTGGACCGTACCATTACCGCTGATTGAGGGGGAGGAGTCAAACTTTGTCGTAAAACTCAATATAGTTTTGTGTAAATATTCTTAGCTAAATTATATTACTTACTTTACTGACTTAGTTTGCCTCGCCACATACATTTTATTACTAATATTTTGCCACTTTTTTGTTTTTTCTAAATTAATCAGTCCAGAACTACGTAATCACGTCTCTACGTAAAGGCGTTACGTTTGTACGTGATGCTGCTGCGACTGTAAACATGGCTGACCAAGAAAACAGAACCATGGAAGTGGATAAGGGAGAAGATAAACCTYCTGTTAAACACGTGAAGTCGGTGTTTGACGAGGGTGCGGAAAGGTCAGAGAAGCGGACAAGTCCAGAGGGGAAAACGGCCACGGCCGAGAGCCGCACCACGGCGGAGTACTGCGAGAAGCTCCAGACGTGGATGTGGCAGTACTACACTGGWTATGTGAACTGGCAGAGCTGCCTGGCGGCGTCCGCGATGTCCTGCCCTTATTATCTGCAGCCACCCGGCGGGTCTCCGACGGCTGCCGATTTCAACCCACATAGCTGGCATAATGGTCCGTTTGGGCTTCCGTTGTCGCCGTATCCGCCAGCGGTGAACTCCCCGGGCGGCCGAGCAGGAGARGCCGCTGTTGGAGCCGCAGCGGCCGCTCAGCAGCAGCAGCCGCAGGCGAACGGAAACGCTCAGAGACCAGGTAAAATAAAACATTAAAACACCAGATAAACAACATTTTATCAATCCTACAGCCAGACCCTCTATATCAAAGGTTCAAAAAATTTCAATAAATTTATTTTTAAAAATGCATATGGGGAACATTGCACTAGTAAACCAAACAAAAAATGATGTTCCCGTGGCATCTATGGGTTAAATTATAATTTTAAAACAGCATATGGTTTATGAGGGGGTCCCTGGAAATTTTTCACACTTGTAAGGGGTCCCCAGACCCAAAAACTTTGAGAAACCCTGCTTTATAGTTTTGTTTACCCTTTTTTTTGGTCCATTGCAGCCCAGTGATTATTTTTTGTAATAAATGCTTTGAACAAAATGGGAGTTTAGCTACCAAACAAATAATAAAAAAAAAGAAAACTTTATCCTTAATTTCAGTTTTTAACATGATTGCAACATAATCACCAAAATATATAATTTATTATCTTAAAAATGCTTTGGGCACATCTTAAAGACTTTTTTGGACTCATATGTTGACTCATGAAATTTCCTACAATGTAAGTTTAAGTAAAATGTGTCTTTAAGTAGTTCCTATATATTGTACAATCATACCGATTTACAAAATATAAAACCTTTCCACTCCCTTGATTGTTTTATGCTTTTATCGCTGTCATAAATCTATCATGATTAAAAGAAAAAAAAAAGTTGGTGAAATCAAGTTTCTACAGAGTGCTACGATTTAAACAAAAACATAATGTAAAAAAGGGGTTTCATAAATATTCAGCACCTTTAAATTGACTCTTAATTCAACTCAGAGACAAGATTATTATGTATTTTCACTTTTATACCACAATCAAGTAACTGTTACCTTCARTTGTCATGAAAATGYTCTTTTTAAAAAAATAAAATTTGCWTCGTAGTCTAATTAAACACTTTGAAATTAGCCTCTGTGTCTTTAAGAACCTCCTGTCGTTTCTGACACTCCCACTTCAGCACGTCTTCACAACAAAGCTTCGGAGGGGGGGTACTTTGTGGGGTAGGAGCTTGGCTGTGGACTGAGCTCCAGGGAGGAGCTTTGTAAATAGGCGGGGCTTTGTAGCTTCACATGGCTACCACAGGAGATGCAAGGATTTCTCAAACATGCATGAGTGAGTCAAAGCAACATTGGGTATGTTTTTGATGAGGGAATAACATTATAACATGATATAAAGCTAAAAACAGTCAATTTAGCATGATACCCCCCTTTAAAATAACGTGTAAACATGTATTTAATAAGAATAGAAATGCATGATATGAAGAATAAAGGCATTTTGTGGAATGGYCGTCTGAGTTTGTTTATTGCAATAAGCAAGACTCAAAAGTTAAAACAAAACCTTTCAGCTCTCCTTGAGCTCCTGAATCATCCACATGGTATCTGGACAATGACATCATCCCCAGGCAGACTGCGTTGTGCCAAGGACAGCCTGTTGATAAACTACTCTGGCAAGAGTGATTAATTCTAGCAGAGCCTGTCCTGATTATATAACACTTAGAGCGAAAACAGAAGATAAACAGAGACATGGTGTCATTTAKGTCAGCAAAAGAGGTCACTAATATCTTTACCAGTGGTGGGCAGCACTAATCCAAAAATTAGCTCCGCAATTTCTAAAGCGCTTATGGAAATATTTAGGTCCGCAACTTCAAAAGCGCTTATGCCRTAGAAAAACTAGTGGAAGCTAATTTTAAAGCGCAAGATCAATTTGACACTTACTAGCTAACAATTCATGTACAAAATATGTACAACACTGCCAACTAGTGGTGTATGAACCCTTTTTTTAATTCTACAAGCGCCGATTGCTGGGGATGTGATTTCCTGAAATAGAAATTTAGCTCCTGGTGTAAAAATTAAAAAGTTGTTGAGGATTGCCAGTTCGGCTGCTTCTTTGTCTTTTTCTTTTGTTCGTTGTAAATTTTTCATTAAAGGAGCATCAATAAAGCAATTTTAAAACTGTTTATTGGAAAACTGAAGCGATGCATTCTGGGTACATGACGGATTTGATTTGTGACGGGAAACRAAAGTTTCCTGTACTCCGTGMTATCTTCCCTTCAAAATAAGAGCTTGGATTTTAAAGTTTTCCATGTAGTTGCATCAGTTGACCACCAGATGTCAGTCTTCATCAGCATAACTTTAAATCATTTCTGAGTCTCTAACCTCATTGGGCGATTGCTTCGACCAATTACGACAAGTATTGAGCTCCAGCATTTAAACTTTATTTTTTTTTAAAAGGAGCTCTGATTGTGAAGTAAAATAAATGATACATACAAACTTTTAGTATGGATTACAAACGTTAACTGTTTTTGCTATTGCCTTCCTGCTACGTAAGCAGACACAAAGCATTGTGGGAAATGAGAACCGTGACCGAGAGCAACATTCAGCAAGGATGTATGTTTCCAATAAATGTATTTATCTGGGAGGGGTGTTGTTGGATAGATCATGTGTGTTGTGATTCATTGACAGCCATACCTTCTGCTGTTCAAAATAATGATGACTGGTAGATAATTAGTTATTATCGGTACTGCATTTTAATTTTATAAAGCTTATGAATTATAAAAATTAGTAAGACCGCTAAAGCGYAAACGAATTATTTAGGTCCGCAATTAGCGGATTTGTGCTTTAGCGGGCTGGTGCCCACCACTGATCTTTACCTTAGCAGATCTGTAGAAGACAGCTGCATAAGGTATTTTTCTTTAAAAATGACAAGTTGGGATGAAATGATCAAGGCCGTAAACATCCCAAATGTTCTGTTACATCCATCATTAAGAAACGAAAGATGGGATGTAACCATTACTTCACTTGTAGTTTTCAACAATCTTTTCTGTGAGTTAAAGTCAGACAGTCACTTTGAAGGGGGTGAATATTTATGTAGTCACTTATTTTACATTATGAACTTATAATTAAGTGGTATTACTCTTTTAAAATTTGATTTCATTTGGATATTGAAAAGGGTTTAATACATTTGTCTTGTAAAGGAGACCAATTTATATTGATCATAACTGATTTATGAGAGCAATAAAATCATAAAACATCCAAAAGTTTTTATTTTTTTCCTCCTCCGTCTCTCCAGGTCGGGAGTACGGCATTCCCTCACCTCTCCAAAGACTCATGGCTGAAATGGTGGACTTCTTCATATTGTTTTTCATCAAAGCAACTATAATCATCAGTATCATGCATCTRAGTGGAATCAAGTGAGTTAAAGATTTGTAGCTAGTATAAAGGTGCTCTGATAAGCATAAAGCAGTGATGYGGAGCTGATTATCTTTTCCTGAATTTTYAGAGATGTTTCCAAGTTCGCCATGCATTTCATCGTGGAGGAGATCGATGAAGACACGTCGATGGAGGAGCTACAGAAAATGATGCTTGTTGCTCTTGTGTACCGGGTTTTAGTGTGTTTTTATGAGGTGGGCGCTCACATAAGTTCTGAGGTTTGTTTCAGTTTAGCCCTGAACTCTCTATTTAAAGACCTCTCCCTTTCACTTTTTGTTTCTTCAGATTGTTTGCATTTGGGGAGCAGGAGGTGCCACCCCGGGGAAGTTTCTCCTCGGACTTCGGGTCGTCACGTGTGACTCGTCCGTTCTGGTCCAGCCCAAYAGAGTGCTTGTGGTTCCGGCAACGAACGTGTCTCTGTCTGCGTGAGTGCCCTCTTTTAACAGTTATCATTCAGAGTATCTACAGAGGGTTTCCACATGTCTCAAATGGAAGTGCACTGTGGTGGACAGTAGTCCCCTAAAGCGYAAAARCGCTAATTGCGGACCTAAATTTCTACTTTGCATGAAGGGTTTCCATGATTTAAAAGTCTGTTTCAACAAATCACCTCCCCAAACTGCRATCAAAGAAAGTCAAAGAATATAATCTTACCACTAGATGGCAGTAAAGTGCTGATTTTTCTCTTACCTGAATGTTTTCTGGTAAACGGAGAATATGTTGCGCTTTAAATTTARCTTCCKCTAAGTTTTATTGAGCATATGTGCTTTTGAACWTGCGGACCTAAATAAATAGACTAGCGCTTTAGAAATTGCGCAACTAAAATTTGAATTAGYGCCGCCCACCACTGGAAGTGCACAACATCGTTTAGCCGCCATTATTGTAGGCAAACGCTAGACAATCACGATGGCTTTCAGACAAACYAAAACAAAATATATTGATACTTCTGTCRAGACGGACCGAGAAAAGGAACAAGTCAGACGACGTAGCGTTGTCTCTGATATCTTATGACAAAGCTGGAGCCTGAACTCAATGGACACACACAATCAATGTTTTCATGTGAATAACAAAGTTCTGGTGACTGACAGAAAGTAATTACAACATACACGCCCCTCATAGCTTGCAGATACAGGGTACATTAGCTAAGCTAATTTAGCTTGTGCTAACACATTGGCATCGTTGCAATGAGGTAGGGATGTGCACAAGTCTTTTTTTTGCAAGTCCAAGTCAAATCTCAAGTCTTTGACCAAAAATCCAAGTCAAGTCTCAAAATCCAAACATCCAAGTCTCAAGTCTTTGACCAAAAATCCAAGTCGAGTCTCAAAATCCAAAAATCCAAGTCTCAAGTCTTTGACCAAAAATCCAAGTCAAGTCTCAAGTCTTTGACCAAAAATCCAAGTCAAGTCTCAAGTCTTTGACC